TAAAATTAATCCTGATTCATGATCTAGGGATAGAACTTTCAAATGTGAGTTGTCAGGATTAATTTTACTTCGAAATCACATCTCTCACGATTAATTCGCGAGAGTTGGCACGTCTGCATTCAGGAACAGATGTCACAACAGGCTGTTATGTGGGGTTGGACGAAGTGAAACAGCTCAGAAGACAGAGAGATGTGAGTCATCGGCAGAGAACTGGCAGTTGAAGCCACGTGAGCCCATGAGATTGCTTTACGAAAGGGCATAAAGGAAGAAGAGCAATTGAAATGAAAATCACCTCCAAATAGTAGAAGAAAAGCAGAGGGAGAACCCATCAACAGACACACACAAGAAAATGTCAGAGGTAGAAGGAAAATAAGGAGAGAATGGTATAATGAAAACTCAGGGAGGATAAGGTGCTAAGAAGACGGAATGATCATCTGGAGATAAGATTAAATTAGCAAAGAATTTGAGACCACAGGTGGGAAAGGAGTGTTCAGTGAATTTAGAGGTGAAGGGGAATAAGATTCACTGGGAAAGGCAGGTGGGAGTCAAGCAATGGCTTTGAGGATGAACGATGATAAGAATATGCTCTGCTTGTATGTGGAAGGAGACAAAGGCCAGTGAGGAGGTGGCAGTAAGAATGTAACAAGATAGTATTTGGGATCTGGTTGAGAACATCTGTGTCTGTTTACCTTCCTGGGGGAGGTATAAATCAGGTTATGCCTTTGTTTCACAGTTTGGAAGACTCAGCAAGAAAGAGATCAGAAGAGTTAATCACTCAGGAAACAGACTGAATAGCTTAATTAGACTTAATTTGAGTGACAAGTAAATTTTCCTTAATTTCTTCAAGCAAAAGCACATTAGAGAATTGCTGCAGAGACTTATAAAACAAAGTGCTGCAGAACGAACATAAGAAATTCCAGCCTGTAGGATTAGATAAAACCAAACCTGACAGAGGATTCTGATAGTTCCACAGGTTTCCACCTGTAGAATCTTAAGTGGAAGAACTGGGAATCTTCCCATCAAATGCTCTTTCCACTGTTTGGACAAAGGGAAGAGTAGACAAACCCATATAAGGTTTCAGTAGATGTTTTATAGGCAATGAATGATTCCGAGTTCATAGTTACTTTAAGCAACACACTTTAATGCTATTATATAGGAATTATGGGAGGTAGCATGAAACGGAGTGAGATGTTGGACTGATTTTCAGAATGGACTTCTGAAAGACAAGACCCAATTTCAGAATGCCTACTTGGAAACTGAGTAGAATAAGCATTTGTGATATAAGCAGCTTTTGGAAAAGCTTTTGGAGGTAATACAGAGAGTAGACTTTCTACTGGCACTTTATGAATGGCTAAAAAAGTTTCTGAGGGAGGTGACCCAGATGGCTGAACTGGATGAATAAAAGTGGAAAGACAAATTAGGCATTAATGTTCTTTTAGTTAACCAGTCTTCGCAAGAAGAGCTCCAAGTGTTGTGTCCAAGAGCTACTCACCATCAAAACAAATAGTTGGAAGACTGTTGTGGCTCTTGACAGAGAAGTATCGTAAGGCTTTTGAAGATGGGAGCTTCATTTAACTTCCAATCTTGGCACATTCAGATCCATTACTTCCAAAGAATTAATGTGTGGACAAAAGTACAGTTGGACACATACCAACTCAAAGAGTTAAAGATTTGTCAGGTGCAGTGAATACCTGTGTTAATACCTGTGAACACCTGTGTTATGAGCTGGTGAAAAATGAGACATTGCTTGGCAAACTCACACTTCATCATCTTTTCTGATCTCACCTCTATGCACTGGGTCTTTTCTACTACAAAAAAGTATTGCAGAATTATTCATCATGTACTCGATCTTCAAGCAATTATTTTTGTGTGTGGAAACTAAAAGAAAGAATTTGGATTGTTTTGAGATAGTCAGGAATCCATCTGCCAGATCCATTTGGTAATACCCAGAAACTCTGTAAAGTAAGACTTGTACAGAGTCCTGGGAGAAGTAATGTCTCAGTCTTGTGCTAAGAAAAGTGACAAGGAGAAGAGGAGGCCTCAAACCTTTCAGACATAATGTTCCTTTGATTCAGGTGTATTGCTTATGAAAAATCTAGAATTGGCAAGAATCCTGTTGTGTATACTGAAGCCACCAGAAAACACTAATGAGTGAGTGAACACTAATGGAAACAAATTTGTGCTAAAAAGAATGAACCTTGGCAAATGAAATTCAGCAATGCCAAACAGAACCATCATATTGACAGATCACTCAAGAAATGACTTCATCTGTTCCTACGGACATGTTACCATTAAAAAAATTGCCTACTTATTAGTATTATGGGCAACTTTTTTGGATATCGGTGACATATAAATCAATGTGCAATGGCAGGCAAACATATAAAGTTTTCATTGAATGAACGTATCAAGGATATGCAGTATGACCTGAAATACTATCGGAGCCCAGAATTCTCGATCTGAATCACACATGAAGACAATCCATTTATATTATGGATATTCTGCCACTTTCATTACAGATTCTGCTGATGAACAAAAAAAATGTGTCTATGCTTCAGGAATGCATAAAAGATGCCAAACATGAAGAAGTGAAAACTCAATTATTGGAATTGTACGTAACACTAAGGAGGAAGCAAAGGATTCACTGAATACAAAATTGAGACTGGATGAGAAAACCTCTGTAGTTGTCCCTAAAAAATACAAGGGATAATTAAGACCCTAGAGCAAGAGATGTTAGATAAGACAGTAACTGAGCCATCTCAGTTACTATATCCAACAGTCATGTTAGGCCTAACGTTTTTAACTACAAGCAACATTTTTGTATTCTCAGAAGCTCAATTTATGTACTAAAAGAGATGCAACAGATTCTTGAATCTCTGAAATGAGTTTGACTGTTTGGTACCTTAGATCTGACATTAGTACACGTGCAAATTGAAACAGATCAGAAAAGTAAGGTGGAGACTGTATTTACCATGTGACATTTTTTCTAATCCCCAAATAGCACCTTTAGGACTGGAGAATGCACTTAGCAGATATCAGAGGGTCAGGGATGAAGTAGTAGTGGAGGCGAAGGAAAAAAGTACTGTATTAATATGTATATCTAGATCAGTGGTTCTCAAAGCCGGTCTGCCGCTTATTCAGGGAAAGCCCCTGGCGGGCCGGGCCGGCTTGTTTACCTGCCGCATCCGCAGGTTCGGCTGATTGCGGCTCCCACTGGCCGCGGTTTGCCCCTCCAGGCTAATGGGGGCTGCGGGAAGGGTGGCCAGCACATCCCTCGGCCCGCGCCACCTCCCACAGCCCCCATTGGCCTGCAGCGGCGAACTGCGGCCAGTGGGAGCTGCGATCGGCCGAACCTGCGGACGTGGCAGGTAAACAAACCGGCCTGCCAGGGGCTTTCCCTGAAGAAGCGGCGGACCGGCTTTGAGAACCACTGATCTAGATGACAGTTCACTCATCTACCATGGCACAACACTTGTAGGCTATACAGATGATTTTTAGCAAGTTAAAAGAGATGTATTTGACCCTTCATGCCACACAAATGTAAGTTTCTTCACTGGAAAATAAAGTCCTTGGGACACTAGTAGTGGGAGCCTTACTTTAGAAAAAGCTCCACATACCTGTCATCATTTTAACACACAATTTTGAACAACACTTTTTTGAGCAGGTCAAAATGACATGTTGTGATAAACAATTCTGCCCTAGATTATATTAGCACTCTCAACATTGCTACCACTGCTGGATCAGCATCAGGGTTAGCAGCAGTAAAAAGTTTTGCAAAAGAACAAACACTAGTGCAGAAAATGCCATTGTGAGTCAACAAGGTTTGTAGTGGATATTGAAAAGATACTGGTGTTGGGAGTCCCTGGGTAGTCTGAAGCTGGCACAGCCAGCCTTATGCCACCCTCTCCCATCACCAGCATAAAAGAGGCATAAAGAAAGGGGGGAGGCATGGCCAAAGCATAATGCATGGCAGTGATCTCCAGGCACTGCAATGATCCCTTGGACAATTAGTTAAAAAAGCTCTGGGTTTGCTCTTGCCACAGTTAAATGCAGCAGCCTTGTGGACCAGAGATGTGGAATAAACCCACCTCCCTGTATAACTTGGGTTTCACACCTAACACAACTCAGTCAGACCAGAGGACTGGGGCTCCAATATTTTGTCTTATACTTTCCAGTGATCTATGCAATTTTTTTGAGAGATCTAATATATGCTTATATAGTTGCCATAAGAAATTACAAAAAAAGAGCCAGCAATTATTGGGAGAGCTTTCTGCTCTCTGAAGCAGCAATTCACTAACACGTCTTAGAAAGGTGCTAACATTAATAATGCTGGTGCACAAACAGAGATTTTTGGCATTATAGAGTACTGAATGGGAGTGGTTATTGTTTAACAACAGTTATTCTAATTTAGCTCTTTCAGAAGGGGGGGGGGGAAATCAATGTTTGCTAAATGGAAAAGAACAAAATCAGTGCGGAAAGGAATTACTTTTTCAAGATTTTAAGTTGGTATTTTGAAGAACTGAGACAAAATGGGGAAAAATGGGACAGTGTTCTTACATCTCACGTATCTTAAAGCAAAATAAATTAAAACCTTGGGGGGGTGGGTACCGGCAGGAAGGTTTTTCCAATAAAGTTACAACTCCACTTCCTTAGAGACCAAACTACTCAGTGCCACAGTTGAATGGTTGTCTATTCTACTGAGCAAACCAGCTCTTTAGGATGACTGATGTCAGCTCATAACCCAGTGAGTAGTGTTATGAGTAATTCCATCAGAAAGAACATTTCTATGGCAACTAGACATGGTTCTCTCTCTTTTGTGCAAATATATGCAACAGTTTTTACTTACAGAATCCAAAAAAAACCCACTTACACAGCACTTCGTATGTTCAAAACAATGCAGACACATTAACACAACCGTGTATTCAGTCTACATTATAAAAACAATATAAAACAGATTGAAATACTTCTGGGGATTGAACATGAATTAATCTCCCTTTACTTACCTCCCATAATTTTAGACTGGCAGTTGATAAATTCTGGCTTCTTGTCTGTAAGGTAACGCTGACAAGTGTGGTGAAGAATCTGAAAGAATGTGGATTTTTCGGAAGCCGTGCTTGCTACCCATTGGTCAAAAGCATTTTCAAATAGTAAATCAAATTCTGGAGAATCCTAGAAGAAAAATAACATTTGAATCACTGGTACTATATTTTAAAACTGATTAAAAAGGTACAGTGACTCGAGTGAAATCCCTGCAAGCTGCATGGACACTTTTCAAAGGCACCATAATAGAGGCCCAACTTAAATGTATACCCCAAATTAAAAAAACATAGTAAAAGAACTAAAAAAGAGCCACCGTGGCTTAACAATCATGTAAAAGGAGTGAGAGATAAAAAGGCATCTTTTAAAAAGCAGAAGTCAAATTCTAGTGAGGTAAATAGAAAGGAGCATAAACATTCCCAAATCAAATGTAAAAATGTAATAAGAAAAGCGAAAAAGGAGTTTGAAGACTAGCTAGCCAAAAACTCAAAAGGTAATAACAAAATGTGTTTTAAGTACAACAGAAGCAGGAAGCCTGCTAAACAACCCTGGACAATCGAGATTCAAAAGGAGCACTTAAAGATGATAAAGTCATCGTGGAGAAACTAAATGAATTTTTGCTTCAGTCTTCACAGCTGAGGATGTTAGGGAGATTCCCAAACCTGAGCTCTCCTTTGTAGGGGACAAATCTTTGCAGGTTACAAATTGTCACAGATTGAAGTGTCCTTAGAGGAGGTTTTGGAATTAATTGATAAATTTAAGAGTAACAAATCTCCGGGACCAGATGGCATTCAACCAAGAGTTCTGAAAGAACTCAAATGTGAAATTGTGGAACTATTAACTATGGTTTGTAACCTATCCTTTAAATCAACTTCTGTGTCCAATGACTGGAAGATAGCTAATGTAACGCCAACATTTAAAAAGGGCTCTAGAGGTGATCCCAGCAATTCTAGACCAGCAAGTCTAACGTCAGTACCATGCAAATTAGTTGAAACAATAGTAAAGAATAAAATTGTCAGACACATAGAAGAACATAAATTGTTGGACAAAAGTCAACATGGTTTCTGTAAAGGGAAATCATGTCTTACTAATCTATTAGAGTTCTTTGAAGGGGTCAACAAACATGTGGATAAGGGGGATTCAGTGGACATAGGGTAGATTTCCAGAAAGCCTTTGACAAGGTCCCTCACCAAAGGCTCTTATGTAAATTAAGTTGTCATGGAATAAGAGGGAAGATCCTTCCATGGATTGAGAACTGGTTAAAAGACAGGGAACAAAGGGTAGGAATAAATGGTAAATTTTCAGAATGGAGAGGGGTAACTAGTCGTGTTCCCCAAGGGTCAGTGCAAGGACCAGTCCTGTCCTATTCAACTTATTCATAAATGATCAGGAGAAAGGGGTAAACAGTGAGGTGGCAAATTTTGCAGACAGTACTAAACTGCTCAAGATAGTTAAAACCATAGCAGACTGTGAAGAACTTCAAAAAGATCTCACAAAACTAAGTGATTGGGCAACAAAATGCAAATGAAATTTAATGTGGATAAATGTAAAGTAATGCACATTGGAAAAAATAACCCCAACTATACATACAATATGATGCGGGCTAATTTAGCTACAACTAATCAGGAAAGAGATCTTCGAGTTATCGTGGATAGTTCTCTGAAGACATCCATGCAGTGTGAAGCGGTTTAAAAGAGAACTAGTTAAATTCATGGAGGTTAAGTCCATTAATGGCTATTAGCCAGGATGGGTAAGGAATGGTGTCCCTAGTCTCTGTTTGTCAGAGGGTGGAGATGGATGGCAGGAGAGAGATCACTTGATCATTACCTATTAGGTTCACGCCCTCTAGGGCACCTTGCATTGGCCACTGTCGGCAGACAGGATACTGGGCTGATGGACCTTTGGTCGGACCCAGTATGGCCATTCTTATGTTCTTATGAAGATTACATGTAGCAATGCACAGTTTTAATAAAGCTATGTAAAATAAATTAATTTAAATGACAGACATCCACTTTTATAGCTGGTCTGAAATTCTTTTTTCCTGAAGAAATTTTTGATGAAAATGAAAAGAATGTTTCTTAACGGAAATTGCAGGGGTATATTCACGTTTTCAATAAAAACTCAAAACTGAAACATTTCAGCGAAAAATTAGAGTTGTAATTCCTCATGGGTGTCTAGTGTGCTCTTTCTCCTCTATGAGTGGACTACAGTATATCACCCATAATGCAACACACTCCCCTTTTCGGAAGGGGGAGCTGGCAACATGGATTCTCTGGTTGTGATGCATTATGGGAGATTACTCCAAATGGACATTCCAAGCCATTGAGGAGAATAGGGACACAAGAAGCAAACTACAAGTCATAGTTTGGGTAGGTTGTCATGTTTCCTAAGAGGCTGCAGGGCTGATTCAACTTTGGCAGCGGGCAGTCAGTGAACAAAATACAGCCACATTCCAAACAAACACTGAGCCAACTGCAAAAAGAAACAGACTCTGATCATGTGATTTGCTTCCTTCATCTGACAATCTAGGACAATCCATCCATATCAAAGACAGGATATCATATATGCACTGATGTACAGCAATGAGCTACAACAGGACATGTGTTAGGCCATTGGTACAGGCTTCAGCTATGTTTAGCCTTTTGCCTACAAAGTGCTCCAGTAATTTAATAATGCATGCCCTGGCACGTCTTATTATTAGAGCATGTCTGATTATATTGAAAATTAAATAGAGAAGTTTATTGCACTTAGGATGACCAGATAGCAAGTGTGAAAAATCAGGACAGAGGGTGGGGGGTAACAGGCACCTATGTAAGAAAAAAGCCCCAATTATCTGGACTGTCCCTATAAAATCGAGTCATCTGGTCATCCTCATTGAACTGCATTCTTCCACTAAGAAAAACAGTTCCTGGTAGAAGGAAAAGAGAAAATGGTATTGTGTTTTCCATCCTTGTCAGAATATATTTAACAGTAAGGTTCCGAGTGGTTAAATGTTTCCAGACTGCTGCTGACAGGACAGCTTAGCACTTTTGGGCAGGGGCGGTCTGTTTCAAATGGACTTTTCCCTCTCCTTCCCCCTTATATTCTCTCCATACATCACCCCTACAATGAAACAGCAGCCTCCATTATCTTTTCCCTCTCCACGCACTTAGTAGAACGGGTGTATGGATTTTTTTTTTTTAATTTTCTTTTTCAGTAATGAGGTCCCAGATGTGCACTGAAAGGAACTGGTACACAGGTGCATCATCATTAAAAAAGATCATATGACCAATCAGAATGTGACATTAGACAATCTAGGAACTTAGCCATACTCAATGAGCATGTTTCATTGTATAATGAATTTGTTTTACTTTATACTACATAATGTTTATGACCACAAGATGTGATTTAAATCCCCAACTCCTAATGCTGCATACATTAATTTCTAGCTGGTGCTTAAAAAGGTTTTATCTTTAACTAGCTTGTCCTTTGCAAATCTGTCTGGTGCACTTAACACAGATAGAAATTCTGAAAGAAGAAAGACCCAGATAATAAAAAAACAGTGTTATGTTGAATTACATTCATGTACCACTTTAAAGACTGCATCTTTGCTCTTTGGGACTGTGACATTATCTGATTAAAATATAACCGTATAGATCATTGTTGCAACCACTGTTATATATTTGCAGCAAATCTTGAACAAAGGTTGTCAAACGAGGTGTCTATGAAAAGGTTATGATTTGCTGGTTATGATTATGCTATCTGTATGCTTGTATCATTTTTGTATTTGAAGTTATAATTATTGGCTCTATACCTGGATTTCAAATATTTGCTCCTGGGGTAATGCCCAGCACATCTTGGAGGGACTATTCAAATTGAGTGGCTCATCGAAAGAATGTTTAACTGACAGTGGACCATGGGAGACGTCTATCTACACTTAATGGAGTTTCCTGCTGTGACTAGGCAAAATTCATGGACATGTGACTTGCCCATGTGACTCCAACCTCCATTTTATTGCTGTAATTTTCCACAGTAAGAACAATGGAAGGCCCTCCACATGGGAAAAGCTATAAAAGGCCCTGAAAACACCTGTTCTGTCTTCAGAACTGCTTCTTATCTCTGGAGGAACTTTGCTATAAACTGAAGCTCTGAACAAAGGACTGAATGACCCATCAAAGCTGTGGATGTACTCCAGAGACTTGACTTAAGCCAGCAGTTTATACCATCACTGCTACAAGCCTGAACCAAGAACTTTGCCATTACTGTATGTAATTGATTCCTTAAACCAATTTTAACTCTCACCTTTCTTTCTTTTTATAAACAAACCTTTAGATTTTAGATACTAAAGGATTGGCATCAGTGTAATTTTTGGGTAAGATCTAAGTTATATATTAACCTTGGTGTGTGGCTGGTCCTTTGGGATCGGAAGAACCTATTATTTGATGAGATTGTAATGAACCACTCATCTAAATCCAGTGTTTTTGGTGGTGATATAAGAACTGGAATGCCTGAGGAAACTGCCTTAATGTTTTCTTGTTAGCTAGTGTGGTGAAACAGTAGTTTACTTTTGTGGCTGGTTTGGTATATCTTATAAAATAACCACCACTGGTTTTGGGTTGTGTTTGCCCTATTTTTCAGCAGTTCGTCCTAAATTTAGCATCCTCAGTTGTGACCCATTAAGGCACGGTTTCAGGGACAATGGACAGTCTACAGAGATTGCAAATTTGTTGGATTAAGGGGGAGCCTGTAAGGAAGCATTGTACCAGGAAAGAGAGAAAGGTCTGTGACCTCTGCAAGGAAGAGATTCAGTTGGCATTTGTAGGCATAGCCAGTTCCAGGAACCCTCCTTCCATACTCTCTCCACAGGTATTGGTCTATTTTATTGGAGGAAGCATCTAGGGATAGATTTTCAGGTTCTATATTGGATGCAGCTCCATGATGGACTGAAGGCCACCAAGAGTAGGCTGAGAAATGTGTTCTTCATAGGGGTAAGAACAAAGGGGCTCTTCTTTCCTTTTGAAAAAGGGGAAGAGAGAAGAGGAGAAAGACAGGACCAGATATGTAGGAGTGAAGGAACATAACAGGAGTGAGCTTATTCTGCTCAATCTTCAACTTAAAATCGGGAGAAAACATATACTGCTCCATAGGATAGTCAAGAGTTAGCACTTAAACCTGGGCACTTGAGAATACTTGCTTATACATCAGCATGCAAAGCTGGAAACTGTCCAAGATTTTTTGTGAGGAAGAACCCAGGAAGAAGGGGTAACAGTCATGATAGGGTCCCTTCCACCTGCAATTCGGATAGCAGTAGAATGGCCTTGATCCTCAACAATAGAAGCAAAAATCCTAACAAAGTTACTTTCTCCTGAAGTACAACATACTCACCCGATTAGAGTCTATGCCATTAACCTGGCAAAGCTGCTCAAGCATCCACTGTGATCTCCTTACAAAAGACGTGGAACCTTCGAACTGTTTGACTTTTGTAATAGACGCCTGGGAGGGTTTCTTGTTTGTCACTGAACACATAAAAGAAAGCAAAAAAGTATAAATACACACATGCGTGCATGTGCACACGCACACACACACACACCCCACACAAAAACACATTTATGTACGGCATAGCATTAGCAAAGAAGCGTCATTTACAGAACTTAGGATAAAACAACTCAACACTACCTCAACGCTACCTGTCAGGAAGGCACTACTTTCCACAGCCTCAAGTATAAGGGAGGAAAAGGATAACCACAAGGACTGTAAAGCACTTTGCGATCCACTGATGAAAAGTACTATACATCAAAATATCAACCAGAAATCATCATTTTGGAGCAAGCACACAAAGTAACAGTGACCTGGCATATTAATAAAAAAGCAATGGATCCCTTACAACTAAAACAACAGGAAATGAAAAATAAATTTTGAGAAAAAGGGAGTGTGCAGAATGCCAGGAAACACAGAGACAACCTAGAAAAGCACCCAGCAGAATGACATGGAAAACTTGGATCACCATGTCTGTGCAAAGACCAGGAGAAAATGTGAGTGAGTGGTTCTGAGTGAATGTGCTTCACTTGTGGCATAGAAACTGCGCTGAGGATGGAGAATGTAAGTTTTCTTCTTTTCAAAAAATAAATATGACTTGTATATTTGATTCAAAAACTGTTCCCTTTGTTGTAAGTAACCTTTAATGTATGTGCATTTACATTTACTTACTACAATTACAGCATTTTAAAGTTATTAATTAATTACTGCCTCACAGTCTTCCTATACATTAGCTAATCTACTGTTAAGATTACTAATGGTAGATCATTAGTATAACTTAAAGATGGGGCTTAAATACTACCTGCCTTATTCACTGATGGATTTTGCACATTAGTAAAGCCAGCACGATTTGGCCCTCAATACTGAACTTTGTATATGTTAAATGATAAAAAAACCTCCTTTTGCAATTCAAGATGAGAAAATTTGCATTCATATTACAACACCGCAAGCTTTAGATTATACGTTGGTCCTTCTGAGCATACATCCCCAGACATTCAAAACTCACCAAGTCGGGCCTTGAAATATTATGAGATAGACTTAAAAATCATCAGATTAGAAAGACAGACAGACAGACAGAAAGATAGATTTTAGGTTCCTTGCACTGTATTTGCCTTCTCGTTTCGAAGACTTTAGGGCACATTTGCTTCATATTTGCATGCTTTTCTACAGAAACATAAGAGCCAGACTTCTTTTTTTTTTTTTTTTTTTAAGTGAAAGCTGAGCTTCTCATGAAATAACATGACTCCTAGAGCTGACACTTAAAGACAGACACCAAATATAGTTTGGTTTTGTATTAAAAATATCATCATATACTATAGTTTCATGAACTGCAAGTTTTTTATTTTCTGGTTCCCTATAGTACTTAAAGGATGCTGGTCATTGAAGTCCACATGCCCTTGGTACCTGCCAATCAATGTCAGCTTTCCCTGGTTAGGGGGCTTCAGCTGGTGAATCTCAGCACTTCTAATAAGCACTGGGATAGGAAAGTGGGCAATGGGGAAGCATTCATGGAAGGCAGAGATGTACAGAAGCAGAAATCTTTCTTTTCCACCCACCAAGAGTCCAAAACTTAAAAGATTGTTCAAGACAAAAACTGCCTAAACCTTATTAACAGATATGAAATTTCATTGTTCAACACCATATACTCCTGTAAGCAAATTCTCTTGCTCTAGCATATCACATTAGCTCCTGTAATGGAAATATTCAAAATCTCCAAAGAGATGGGGACAAAGTTATTTCTATTCCAGTGTATCCTTGTTACAATGTTCTGTGACACCACAGTGATAAATTTACTTCCTTGAGTCTCTAAACATAAATATCAAACAGTGTGCTCTACAGGAGATGGACAGCAAGCCAAAACCTTGCCATATACATAACCTATTTCCAGTCTTCAATTTTAACCAATAAATTGGACAAGCAACAAAATTTAGCATGCTAGAAAGGGAACTATGAGTATTTGATTGGCATTTTTATTAACTGTGTTCCCAACATTTACACATCGTTCTTTACTTTTTAACTCCTGTGCCATGGGCTATATTTCCATCCAGGATCTTCACCTGCTTTAGGCTCTGGCTTTCACACTGGTATACAGAATGTGCCAGTGAACATCTGTAAAATTGTCTCTAATTCATTGCATTACTGGCTGGTCTTTTGGTGATTTTTCCTGAGTGAACTCCAAGTGGAAATTACAGAGACCCTCTTTTGAGATACATATGATGTGACAAAAATCATTGTTTCATCTCTGATGCCATGTCAGGATGCATATTCCTTATTGGTAAAACAAGTACGATACTTCTCAGGTCCAGAGGCATTACGAAGTTCCTTATAAGCCTTTATGCTGTTAAATGCTTCCGAAAACACAACCAAAAAGTTATAGATCTGTGTCCTTGTTACCAGTTAAATATTCTTATTCCTATACCCTTTCACTGGCTTGTTGCCCATACCTTGGCCTATACACTCATTCATTTCTTCCTCCTCTTGTATTTTTGAGACAGTGAAGCAGCAAGATGGTAAATTCTTCAAATAGCCATGTGCTGTTTGCCCACCTTCACTTGTCCTTTAATGTTACTGTGGACTTTCATGTCAGTGATTGATACACAACCCTACAGAGTCTGCCAGTAGTCCCTAACATAACAACCTACACTGATTTAATATGCTCAACATTTAAAAAGTTTAGTTACTTATTTACAGTATATAGTCAACACATAGTAAACTATATATAATAATGACAGGTTTCAGAGTAGCAGCCGTGTTAGTCTGTATTCAGAAAAAGAAAAGGCGTACTTGTGGCACCTTAGAAACTAACAAATTTATTTGAGCATAAGCTTTTGTGAGCTAAAGCTCACTTCATGGGATGAAAGCTCATGCTCAAATAAATTTGTTAGTCTCTAAGGTGCCACAAGTACTCCTTTTCTTTTTGTGTATACATAATAATGACAGCACTGTCCATTTCCCTGGATATTTCATAAACTTAATTGAATTTTGCACTAAAAAAAGGAAGTAATACAGGCAAAATACAGTTTGATATTTATTCTAGCACAGAACTCCCTAAATTCTCTCGCTTGTTCAAATAAATAGGTTCCATATACTTCAGAATAAAACAGAGATCATGTAAATAAAAACCAAGCTCAACTGTAACAAACAATATACTGACTATACTCCAAAAACATTAAGAGTGGTGGGAACATACACATTAGACTGCCGTTGCACTTAAAAAATATAGAAAACCATGCAACTTAAACAAACACACTATCCTCAGTGTTTTGAAATGTGCTTAAAAGATTAAAGCTAACTTTCAAAAACAGGAAAAAAGGCTTCCTGTATTAGACTCACTCCCTAAACACATAAAGGAGATGTCTTTTTTGTTGATGTAAATCATATATATTTTTGACCTCTCAATAAGAAATTTAGGAACCATCTTACAGTTTTTAAATAACTATATGAATACTTTGTTATATCTTATTCCTGTCTTCTACTTCATATTTCTGTTGCCTTATGTTGTCTTCACTCACTTGAAAGTGCATTATATTATTATCCCTGCGTTTCTCACAACGCTATTTTGTAAATTCACTGTGCTGGACAATCTGGTTATTTAATAACACTGTGTTATTACTGTTTTCCCCTTGTCCTCTGGATTACCTATATTTCTAAAATCCTTTTACCCCCTAGTGTGCCTGAAGCAGAAACTGTGAAGTTTAGGGAGACTTGCTGTGTTTTTTGCTTTCAGATGCTGACATTTAAATCTCTCACTTTTTGATACAGTATATAAAGCAGCATGTGAAATTGCAGAAGTATGCATTTTAAATCAGATCTTCTATAAACATACTACTGAATAACTGAACAATACCAAAAAGTTTTGTAAAGAACCAAAGCTTTGGTCAGGCAGTTTCTACTAGTACATAATACTTAAAAAACAAAACAAAACAACAACAAAAAAAACCCAATACCCCAAACCCTGTCTTCCACTGCCTCCACAACCATCAGATAAAGGGTTTACATCTACATTCATTAGTTTTTAGGGAAAAAAATAAAGTCATTTACCTTTACTATAACATTGTCACAAATCAATGTATCTGGTTATAAAAAGACATGGCTTTGCTGGTGCATTTGAGTAACAAATGAAGACCTTTATCATATGAAAAGTTCTAGTCTTTTGTGTAAATCTCAGATTTACACACACACACACAAACACACACACACACACACACCCCTATTGTTTCCTAGTTACAGGAGAGATTCAGTACAATAACAGAAAATCCATTTCTACGAGAATAAGGACAGGCCAAAACCCCACCACCTATATGCTTCCCAAGGCATACAGACAAGGAAACCCAGGCAGACCCATCATATCTGGCTACGGTACTCTTATTAAAGTAATATCAGGACCCACAGAAACCATTCTCAAACTGCTCACCACACAAAGGACCAACTTCTTCTAAGACAAAACTGGTTTCCTCCACAAACTCTGCAACATTGACAATCTACCTCAAAACACCATTCTTGCCACCGTGAATGTCACTATCCTATACACCAACATCTCTCACAATGACAACATAGCTACCTGCTTCAAATATTTACAAGACAATGGACAGACAACTTAAACTCCCTCATAGACTTCCACCACTTCCACTGCAACAACCACCACCCATCCATTAAATTCCCTCTGGAACACTTCCACACTAGCATCAACTTCCTGAACACCATGATCAGCTTCAGCAATGGCACCTTACAGACAACTACATACAAGAAACCCATGGATCACCACACCTATCTTCATAGATCCAATAACCACCCCAAACACACCAAGAAATTGGTTATCTATGGCCAGGCACTCAGATACCACAGAATATTCTCCGAGGAGAACATAGAGGATACACACGTTAACACTACTAAAAACCACCTTCCCCAAACAAGGATGCTCCACCAGAGAAGTAGATGGCATCATGGAATGGGCCACCCAAATACCCTGAGAAAACCTGCT